GCCCCCCCTCCTTCCCCAACCCCTGCTTCCCCTCCCGCTTCCTTTGCACCCCCTGTCTCTCCTGCCCCACCCTCCATACCCACTCCCCTCCGACACCCCCGCACCCGCAGTGCTGCGAGACAGGAAAGCCAGCAGGACCCCCAACCCCGAGGTTTCCCTTCCCTTCCTCCCCCTTCTAGCTCCCTCCTCCCAGGTTTCCCCCTCCTCTCTCCCACCCTTATTCCTCCCTCCCCCCACCCCAGTTCTGTACAATAAAAAGAGATTGATGTTTTCAAAACAGGTATCTTTATTTAACATTAGGAAGGGGGCTAGGGAGGGGAGGGTGGAAGAAGACCTCAATGGGGCATGCAGGGAGAGTTCAGTCCACCTCCTCTACCTGGAAGCCTCCCGGATGGCGGCGGTGTGGGGCTGAGTGTAGTGGCCAGCCATGCGGTCTGCCTCAGCCATCCAGGCTGGCAGGAAAGCCTTCCCCTTCTGCTCGCACAAATTGTGCCGCATGCAACATGCTGCCACCACGGGAGGGATATTGTGCTCAGTGAGGTCGAGGTGGGTGAGGAGGCATCAGAATAGGGCTTTCCGTCGGCCGAAGGCCCCCTCGACCACAACGTGGGCCATAGTGAGCCTGGCATTGAAGGCCTGCTGGGAGGGGTTGAGGTGTCCCGTGTAGTCCTTCATGAACCAGGGCTGTAGGGGGTAGGCCGCAACCCCCATCAGGCAGACAGGCATGTCCACGTCCCCGACCTTGATCTGGTGGTCGGGGAAGAAGGTCCCGGCGTGCAGCCTCTGGCACACAGAGGAGTTGCGAAACACCCTGGCGTAGTGTGCCTTGCCGGACCAGCCCACATTAATGTCCGTGAACTGGCCCTGGTGGTCACACACGGCCTGCAGGAGCACGGAGAATTACCCCTCGCGGTTAATGTACTGGGATCTCTTATCCAAGAAAGCTGTCAGATTGGTTTGACATGCCCTGTCCTTTACAAATCCATGCTGGATGTTACCTGTTACCTTATTATCTTCCAGGTATTTGCAGATGAATTCCTTAATTACTTGTTCCATTATCTTCTCTGACACAGAAATTACACTGACTGGTCTGTAGTTGCCTGGGTTGTTCTTATTTCCCTTTTTATAGATGGAGAGTAGGGGCTTGTCTAGACTACGTGGAAGTTTTGAAAGAGGATATGCAAATTCCGCCTGGTTAGGTGGTCTGTAGGAGATCAAGAGATTAACAGTGTGGAAAGTAAATCAGCAATGTCAAAAAGAAATTATCTGATTTAGAAAGGAGAAATATCTTCTCGGGCATTCACCAGGTCAGAAAGAACATGTTTGCTTGTTCAATCAAGGGGAAGAGTTAATGTAGGTAGCTGGTGTGAGTCTACATTCTTCATCGTGGTATAATTTGCTCATGACTATAGTATAGTCATGAGGAATTTAGTGCAGTGGATCATTGAAGGTAACATTGGATCGTTGAAGGTGACATAGGAAAGTTATGATTTAGTAAACATGATGATACTATTTGTATGCATGGCTCATGTTTGTGTCTGAAGTGATGAATATTAAGGATGAGTCTGTAGGTGCAATGTTGTTACACCTGGTTAGCTCCCACTAGGCAAGATGCTTTCCCTGGTTGTGAAGGTCCTGTTTTCATATTAATGAGCCATTAGAGGAATTAATAGGCCTGAGGAGAAGTTTATCTCCCACCAGATTCGACTGCTAGAGACACTCCAGAGAGTCTGTCAATGGTTGCCATAAATCTCCCAAGGCAGGGGACCAGGAGAAATGATGCTGGACTCCATCTTGGGACTTCTGTATTTTGCCACACACTGATGTGGGAATCAAGTTTGAAAACAAAGGCTTCCCCAACCTTATATAAGGCAGGGAGTGATCTCATCCGCTGATTTTCGATCCCCACACAAGGGGACTCCTGGAAACAGCAGGGAAATACAGAATGAGCTGGGGAACGGCTTGAAGAAGACGAAAGGACATTCTAGCCTGTGTCTGGAAACCCAAGAAACCTGAGTTGCAAAGCCAATGGCACGTATGCCTTGAGATCCAGGCTGTCTGCCGGCTTCCTCTGTCAGGGTGAGGAACTGCTCGTTCACAGTCAGTGTAATCAGCATGTTGTGCTTAGTTTTCAGTTTTGTTTATTTACTGATGAGCTGCTTTGATCCCTTGTAATCAGGTTAAATCCATGTTTTCTAGTTTAATCTAATGTGTCTGTAAATTAAGTGCCTGAGGGCAAAAAGTCTCAGCTTGCTTATCACAAGTTTGCTTGTGATGGGAGGCCAAACTCAGTCATTGAGGGACGGCAAACGCAGTCATACATTCCTGTTGTCCACTTGTTTGACCAGAACAGGACTCTACAGCTCTGCATCCTAGACTGGGGAGATCATTTATGTTTAACAGTAGAGATATCCACCTCCTCCTTTCCCATCCCACATAACCAGCATGTTCTCAGACACCGACCTTCCCTTTATTTTTCTCTAAATCTCTGTGGAAAATGTGTTGTTGCATTCACCATTACCGATGTATTCTGTGGATGTATGCCACGCGTAAAAAAACAACCCTCTACAAAGTATATATTTTTCTAGATGTTGACATAGGGATACATTCTCCAACCAAGACAGGTTTGGCATTTCAGAACTCACTACTTAAAGAATTAAATTAAGCACAAGAGTGCAGTAAATCTGTGAAATGCATAGAGCGGTCAATCAGACTATAACAACAGCTGTTTGAAAGCATAAACTGAAAGGGAACATATGTGCATTTGGGGAAGTAACAGCAACAACACAAGACAGTGTTGGGAAGTGAATGTGAAAGAGACAGAACAAGTGAGTGTATGTATGTGTGATAGAGAATCATCCTTTGTCGATAAGAGGGAGAAGTATGTGTGACAGGACAAGTAAACAGTGTGGCTGTGTCTACACTGGCATGAATTTCCGGAAATGCTTCAAATGGAACAGTTTTCCGTTATAAGTATTTCCGGAAAAAGAGCGTCTACACTGGCAGGCTGCTTTTCCGGAAAAGCCCTTTTTCCGGAAAAGCATCTTGGCCAATGTCGACGCGCTTTTCCGGAAAAAAGCCCCGATCGTCATTTTCGCGATCAGGGCTTTTTTCTGGAAAAGACTACTGTGCTGTCTACACTGGCCCTTTTCCGGAACAGTTTTCTGGAAAAAGGACTTTTGCCCGAGCGGGAGCAGCATAGGTTTTCCGGAAAAGCAGCTGATTTCTTACAATAAATCGTCACTGCTTTTCCGGAAATTCAAGGGGCCAGTGTAGACAGCTCACAGCTTATTCCGGAAAAGCAGCTGCTTTTCTGGAATAAGTGGCCCAGTGTAGACACAGCCCTAGTGTGTTTCCACATCGGCTCTTGCATCCTCATGGGAGTCTCCCATCTGAGTAGATCTATTATCTTAAAAGTGAAAAGCCTTCAAGGTCAAACATCTGCTCTGGCATGCACCATGCTGGGATGAATACCATTGCATCTTCTATCCTGGAGGAAAGTGAATAACAGTAGACGGGTTATAGCCAAACGGTTCTAAGAAAGAGCCAGGAACTCAGATTTAGAATGTAAGAATGGCGATATCGTGTCAGAGCAAAGGTCCGTCTAGCCTGTTAGCCTTTCTTTCAACAGTGGCCAATTCTTCCGAGGGAATGCGGAGATCACTTTCCTTTTCAGATAGGTGGACAGACCTTCATACAAACCATGGCCTCTTTGATGTTTTGGGTATTGTCTTACGGAGTGAATCTGTGCTCAGCTTCGAAAATGCAATTCTCTGCTCCTCTAGAGCAACACGCACAATCTGAGATTGAGCTCCGGGGCTCAAATAGCAGTGTAGCCTGGGTCGCATAGACTAGGTGCCCCAACCCAGTCCCACCTGAGATTCTAGATGGGTTCACAGTTGTGTATCGTAAGCCCCTGCTTGTGCCCCTGGGTTCTCATTGCTAATTTCACCCTGCTAGCTTGATTAAAGCTCGTGCATGTTATCCTGGCTGGCAATGATACCTCCCAGCTGCAGGGCAGACATACCCATGTTTGACCTTTAAATACCCTTCCTTTCCAATCTATTGACTTTTGTTATGTCCTCTAGATTGGCTGAAATGACACTGCCATGATGAACATGTTGCCACATCCCAGCTTCAAAGACTATTAAGATTTCAAGTGGCCTTAAGGCAGGTGTGTGGGACATTTCTGTAAATTCATGAAGCTTCCATGCTCTTGGCTCCCCTATATTGGAAACTCGACCCTTTAATGAAATGAGCCTTCCTCTGCTTCTGGAAAACTTGATCTTTCCAGGGAAGAGATGCAGTGGCACGTGCTTGCTGGTCCCAGGTTTCTGGTCTTTTACCAACAGTACAGCCGGTCTGCAGGTGCTCCATGCATATTGAATGTTTTTCTGTTTCTAGATAAGAATTATGGAGCAAGCAGAAAGAAGAAACCAAACAGCCATTGTGGAACTGATCCTCTTAGGATTTGGGAATGGCCCTGAACTGCAGCCCCTTCTCTCCCTGGTATTTCTAGTGATCTACATTGCGGCTGTGGCTGGGAATCTCCTCATTGTTGTGCTAGTGGTGGCTGATCCGCACCTTCACACTCCCATGTACTACTTTGTGGCCAACTTGTCCAGTGTGGAGACCTGCTACATTTCCACCACCCTGTGCAGGCTGCTGGCCAGCCTCCTGACTGGGGACAAAACCATTTCTCTTCAGAGCTGCTTTGTGCAATACTATTTCTATATTATCCTGTCCAATGCAGAATGTCTGCTGCTCACGGCCATGTGTATTGATCGCTACCTAGCGATCTGCCACCCCCTCCGTTACCCTGCTCTGATGAACGGTAGGGTCTGTTGCCACATGGTGGCATGGGCCTGGATAGTCAGCATTCTGGTCTACATCATGATACAAATTTTCATGTTGCAAGTAACATATTGTGGTCCTAAAGAATTTAATCATTTCTTTTGTGATTTTGCACCCATGGTATTTCCATTCTGTGGTTCTGCCCAGAGACTGACAATTCTGACAAATATTATGTCTCTCGTAGTGACAATTGTGATTCTTCTGCTGACCATGGTGTCCTATATTTGTATCATTGTCTCCATCCTGAGAATCTCGTCCACCACTGGGAGGAAAAAGGCCTTTTCCACCTGCTCCTCTCACCTCATCGTGGTTGCAATTTACAATATATGTGTAATTACAACCTATGTGGTTCCAGTGCTCAACCCTCCTGCAGTCCTGTACAAAATATTGTCTGTCTTGTATGTAGTCCTGATACCCTTGATCAACCCTGTCATCTACTGCCTGAGAAACAAGGAGGTCAATCAGTCCTTGAGAAAAGCTGTTCAGAAACTGGTTGCTTTCAGACACAGGCATGCAGTGTGAAAGGACAAATTGTAGCAAATTGTGCAATGGAGATGAACTGATGTATTTCCTTACACATGGCCCATTTGACTCCTTGAGGACAGAGTTACCCTTCATCACTGCTTTCTTTCTTTCTTTCTTTCTTTCTTTCTTTCTTTCTTTCTTTCTTTCTTTCTTTCTTTCTTTCTTTCTTTCTTTCTTTCTTTCTTTCTTCTACTCTCTGAGCACTGATCTTTCCATACGCATCATACACATTTCTTCATACTTGATACTGTAAGAGAGATTCTCAATAAAAAGAGGGAATTGTTATCAAACATACATTCAGGGTAGCCCTGTCCTTCATTGATCTGCACTAGTATCCACATTCTGCAAGGTTGTTCAGAGCTTTTCAGTGATTCAGAGTCTCCTCCACTCCCACTAAAGCCAATGACATTCAATTCCACTGATTAGGGTCTTCTGTTGTCAATTGCAGTTTTGAAAAGTAGGTGAAATATTTTGCCACCACCATGAGTGGAGAACCCCCAGGCAGATCTGGGCTAGCGAAAATGAAATTCTGTGGAGGTTGGCAGTCTTAGTGTCCTTCCAAGTAAAATTTCCCCCATGTTAATTATGCACCAGAAGTAAAATAAATGTCAATATGACAATTGCAAAAGTTTAGTTTGTGTTACAAAAAATGTGGTCCCTGTGATGGGGCAGAGGATGGGAGGTCCCAGACTCTGGGAAAGGGAGCGCTGGGGGAGGGGCCCGCACAAAGGAAGGGCCGCGTGGGAGAGCCGCGGCCGGGTGAGGGCCAAGACGAGGATGGGCAGCGGAGAAAGGAACACTACCCACCCGGCACGGACAGATGACATCATGCACAACATCACAGAGCGGGCGGCGGAGAACTGGATGGAGCACGCAAGGAAGGGGTCGACGTGTGGGAGATTTAAAAGGAGGGAGAAAGGAGCAGGGGGGGAAGATGCAGAAAGGGAGATGCAGCTGCCCCAGGGGAGGGGAAAAAGGTAAGGCTAGCCCCCTCCCGGCAGACGGGGGCTAGCGGAGGCATGGGGAAGAAGTAGCCCAGAGCAGGACTGTGGAACCCGAGAGTGGAGGGTTTAGAGGTGACGACCCCCTCCACTGAGCGGGGACAAGCATCCCCACCTCAGGGCCCTGGGCTGGGGTTTGGAGAGAGGGCGGGCCCGAACCCTCTTGCCCTGGCCCGAGGAGCCAAGCAAAGTTGTCAGTAGGGCGCGCGAGAGAGAGACGGAGTCCCACCATTCAGGCAGCTCCACTGATAAACCATTGTAGCTCAGGGGTGGGGAACGGGTGTGACTGAGAGGGCTTACAACAGTCCCTGTTATACTGAAAAGAAAGTAAATTAATCTGTTTAGTATATTTGAGTTACAAAAAACAAGACAATTGTTTAAAAAAGCCTTTATTATATTAACAACTTAAGCTGTTTGAGATTTCTTCCTAGTTATAAGAGACACCAGAAGATACAAGACCACAAACAGTCCAGTAACTAACAGTATCCAGTGAAGAAATGCCTAAGCATAAAAAAAAAATCTTTATAAATCAGAGATTGGTCAAATATACCGCAATCTCCAATCTATTCTCCAAAAGTCTAGACGACAATTAAATTGGCAATCCGCTAGAAATCATTGTTAGTTAATTTAATCTAATTTAATTGAACCAGGTAAAAATCAACAAACAAATGTCAGAAAACAACATGGGAAAAAGAAAAGAACAAATTGGGTTAAAAAAAATGAAAGAAATTAAGTTGCCTAGAACTGCAAGTTGAGTAAACACGTTCCCTGTTTGTCCTCGTCATGATACAAAAGCATACAATGAAAGGGAATTTGTGTGCATTGTGTGAAGTAACCGCAACAGCACAAGAAAGTGCTGGGAGATAAGTGTGGAAGATACAGAACACATAAGTGTGCGAGGGAGGGAGAGACAATGTCTAGCAGAGCAGCAGACTGGCCTGGACTTGTCCATAGGTGCTGGTGAGGAGCCGTTGGGTTGGACAAAGCGAGTGAGAATGACAGCCTACCCTGGAGCATTTGAACTAGGGGTCTCTGATATACCAGAGGAACACCCTCACCCTGAGCTCAAAGTGACAGCTAGGGTCTCCTTCCACCTCAACTTTTAGTGGAAACTCACCTATCTTGTCAGATACGCGGTGAGTTAGGGGGAGGATTCTGGGATGTCTGGATGTTTGGACTGGAGCTGGTGAATTTCATGGGATGAAATAGGCTGCAAGTTGAGTTTAGTGGCCTACAGTCCTCAAGAGCGTCTGACAGGAATTCTAAAGAGCCCTAGTGAGGCCAGATTCTGGGATTTAGCTATCTAGAGTATGTTTAAACTACACTAATCTTTTAAAAGAGGAGATGCAAATGCCATGGGATTTTCCAGCATCTCAGCAGAATGGGTGATACAAATACTCCTGGCCAGAGAGAACACTGGAGTATCTCTACGTGTCATAATTGCTTCTTCTGATCATGTTTTCGTAAGAGGATCTTCCGAAAATGAAAGTTGTATAGATGCGGCTTTAAAAAAAAAACTTTTTCTAAGGACCTACATAAACTTCCTTTTTTTAGGAAATGCATTTTTTTTCGAAAAAGGGTTGTTCCTTTTTAAAAACACGTCTAGACGACTTTCATTTTCAAAAGATTCTCTTTCGAAAACGCGATTGGAAGAAGATATACAAATTCCTGCAGAATTTGCATATCCTCTTTTGAGAGATTGGTGTAGTTTAGACGTATCCCTAGAGTGGTTAAGAAACCAAAGTCTTTGATTTTTAGTCTTGCCCATTCTTGTTATTTGGAAACAAAATAGGTCCTCTCTGTGTCTTTGGTGAAATCAACACTGTTAAATTTCTTGCCCCTGAGCCTCCAGGGGTAAAGGACCAGAGCTTTAAACCCAGCTCCCGAGCTCTGGGTGTGTTTTTACACCCTCCCTCTCATCCGTATGCAGGAGGGCTTGGATACAGTGGAAGCACGACACAGCAATTCTCCAGTGTTCTCGTTGACCTGTTCTGCTGAGATGCTGGAGAATTTTGTGCCCAATTGCCCAGATTCTCATCCTGGTTACACTACTGTAAACATGGAGTAAATCCACTTATTCCTGTGGGGAACCTGTTATCGGAACTTGGCTCAGCAGGGTTTTGTCAATAAAAGTGGACTTTTGTCGACAAAACTATACCTGTGTCTACACTGCCACTGAGTTCTGTTGCCATAACATCTACAGAACTCAGCAGTTTTGTCGACAGCGGTAAACCTCATTCTATGAGGAATAACGCCTTTTGTCAACAGAGTTCTGTTTATAGAAGGCGTTATTGCATCTACACTGTCCTTTGTGTCCTTTGCGGCTTGCTTTGTCGACAGAACTGGATGTAGTCTAGACGCTCTTTGTCGACAGAAGCTTTGTCGACAGTTATCTGTCGACAAAACTTCTGTCGACAAAACCCTGTAGTCTAGACATACCCTCAGTGTATGAGATCACTGCTGCAGATGCAGCCCTGGTGTAAAAGCAGGGAAAAGGGAGGAGTTACACCAGGAAACAATGTGGACTGTGCTATTGAAAATGCACAGAAGTTTTCTTGTAAAATTTCAGAGGACATGCCCAATCAGTGTTGCTGTTAATTAACACCCAGGGGTCTTAATTACAAACCCTCCATCCCCAGGGGGCTATTAGTGAAGCACAGTTTAGAGTCCATCCAGGAATTCTTGTGCTGTGTTCATACATCAGTTATTTAATCCACAAATTCCCCTGTGGAAACAAACTGCAGAGCGAACTGGCCGCTGGCCTTCTCACTGATCTGAATCCAGGGGCTGTCACTGCTCTCCCAATGCTAGTCAAATGTGACCCTTTGGGTCAGTTCCTAGTGGGCACAGGCCAGGCCATGGCTGCAGGTGGGAGAGAGCTGAAAAAGAGGCGGGGCCAATAGCAGATATTGCCGCACCCAACTTCTCTCCTAAGAACACGAGAACAGCCAGCCTGGGTCAGACCAAAAGTCCGTCTAGACCAGTGTCCTGTCTGCCCTCAGTGGCTGATGCCAGATGCCCCAGAGGCCTGTTAGTTTGATATCTGTAGTATGGCAGATCTTGGAAAAAATTTTGAAGGAGAAAGTAATTAGATACATTGAGGCTAATGGCAATTGGGACAAATGACAACATGGTTTTACAAAAGGTAGATCGTGCCAAACCAACCTGATCTCCTTTTTTGAGAAAGTAACAGATTTTTTAGATAAAGGAAATGCAGTGGATCTAATCTACCTCGACTTTAGTAAGGCATTTGATACAGTACCACATGGGGAATTATTGGTTAAATTGGAAAAGATAGGGATTAATATGAAAGTTGAGAGGTGGATAAGCAACTGGTTAAAGGGGAGACTACAGCGGGTCATACTGAAAGGTGAACTGTCAGGTTGGAGGAAAGTTACTAGCGGAGTTCCTCAGGGATCAGTTTTGGGGCCAACTTTATTTAATCTTTTTATCGCTGACCTTGGCACCAAAAGTGGAAGTGTCCTGATAAAATTTGCAGGTGACACAAAGTTGGGAGGTATTGCCAATTCAGAAAAGGATCGGGATATCATACAGGAAGATCTGGATGATCTTGTAAATTGGAGTGATAGCAATAGGATGAAATTTAATAGTGAGAAGTGTAAGGTTATGCATTTAGGGATTAATAACAAGAATTTTAGTTATAAGCTGGGGACACATCAGTTGGAAGTAACGGAGGAGGAGAAAGACCTCGGAGTTCTTGCTGATTATAGGATGACTATGAGCCGCTATTGTGACATGGCCGTGAAAAAGGCTAATACGGTCTTGGGATGTATTAGGCGAGGTACTTCCAGTATACGGAGATATAGGTGAGAGGATTATTCTAGGAGGGGGTGGGTGAGAGTCTGTGGCCTGCACTGTGCAGGGGGTCAGACTAGATGATCATAATGGTCCCTTCTGACCTTAAAGTCTATGAGTCTATGAGTCTATGAGTGTTGCTGTTAATTAACACCCAGGGGTCTTAATTACAAACCCTCC